TTTTTTTTTTGTGGTACTGGGGTTTGAACTTAGAGTGTCACATTTGCTAGCCAATACTTGAGGCACATCTCCTGTCCCTTTTGCTCTAGCTATTATTGTGTTGCTGTTGTTTTGAGAGGGTTTTGCTATTAAGCCCAGGCTGTACTGAATTCAAGATCTTCCTGCCTCAGCCTACCAAGTGCTGGGATTATCAGTGTGTGTCACATATCTGGCTGCTCTGGTTATTTTTGAGGTAGGGTCTTGCTTTTTGCCTAGGCCAACCTGGACCACAATCCTATTTGTGCTTTCCCACGTAGTGTAGATGATAACATGCACTGGTTGAGATGGGGTCTCAAGAACTTTTTTTGCCTGGACTGCAGCCTTCCCAATTTCAGCCTCCCAAGTAGCTAGGATTACAGATGTGAGCCACCATGCCCAGCTACACGTGGTTTTTAAAAACTAATGTAAAATGAAATGTGTCCACATTAGGAAGATTTTCATAACTCTGAAAACTAGTATTTCTTAATGACCAGTGTAGTATATTACAAAATTATGCATGGTTTAAGAGATTTCTTCAAAGTGCAATATGAATCAATAGCTTTTTCCTTTTTTAGTATTAACAGATTTGGGGGGGTATAATTGAGACATAATAAGTTGCATGCTTTATATATGAATAGATACATGAAAGTACCACAATCAAGATAAAGAACATGAGCATGCCCTCCCCTCAATTTCCTTGCACCCGTTTGCAATCTCTCCATCTTGCCCTTCTCCACCCCTCCCCATCTATCAGGCTACAATTGACCTACCTTTTTCCACTAAAGTTTTGTTTGCATTTTAAAATTTTTATATAAATGGGTTCATATAGCATGTACTTTTTTCCTTATATATACTCTATCTATCTATCTAATAAATTATTGTGCTGGGCAGGGGTACATTGTGGCATTTACAAAAGTTCATACTTGAATTCACCCCCTCCAACAATACATACTTTTTTCTTTTTCTCTGATTTCTTTCACTGGTCATAATTATTTTGAGAATGATCCATGTTGTTCCATGTGTCATTAGTTTGTTTCTTTTTATTTTGAGTAGTATTTCATTATAAGCGTATATCATGAGTTGTTTATTTATGCATTTACCTATTGATAGACATTTGTATTCTAATTTTTGATATTACAGATTGTATCTGTAATATTACTGTGAATATTTGTGTATAAATCTTTGTGTAGTTGTATGCTTTCATTTCCTTTGAGTAAAAACCTAGGAGTGGAATGGCTGGATCACAGGTAAACAAACATATGCTTAACTTTGTTTGTTTGTTTCTAAGACACAGTCTTGTTTTGTAGGCCATAGTGGCCTTGAACTCTTGATTCTCCTTCCAAGTTGTGGGATAACAGGCATATATCATCATGTCTAGCCCAGCTTCTATGCTTATCTTTTTATGCCTTTTTTTTTTCTTTTTTTTTGGTGGGACTGGGTTTAACTCAGGGCTCCACGCTTGTAAAGCAGGTACTCTACAGCTTGAGCTAGTCCTTTTTGGTCTGGTTATTTTGGAGATGATGGTCTCAGGAGCTATTTGCCTGGGGTGGCCTCAAACTGCTGTCCTCCCAGTCTCAGCCTCCCAAATATCTAGGGTTGCAGGGGTGAGCCACCAACATCTTTTAAAGAAGCTGCCAAGATGATTTCCAAGGCAGTTTTACCATTTTACATTTCCATTAGTCATGTATGAGAGTTTTGTTTGCTCCATGTTCTCACTAACACTTGATATTGCTAGTCTTTTTGAATTTACCATTGCATAGGTAGGAAGTGGTTATTTCATTGTAGTTTTAGTTTGTACTTTCCTAATAACTAAGGATGCTGTGTCCTTTTGCATGCTATGCCATTTGTGTGGCTTCCTTGATGAAGTGTCTATTAAAATTTTTGCTCACTTGCTTATTGGGTTATTTTCTTACTGAGACAAGAAAGTTTTAGAAAATATACATACATGGTACCGTGTCCAAGAAATCTTTGCCCAACCCAATTTCACATTTATTATTTTTTTTTTTTTTGTGGTACTGGGGTTAAACTCAGGACCTTGCACTTGCTAGGGTGGTGCTCTACCACTTAAACCATGCTTCTAGGCCTACTTGCTTTAGTTATTTTTTCAGTTAGGGTTTTGTGTTTTTGCCTGAGTTCGGCTTCAGATGTGATCCTCCAATGCCCTACCTCACCTAGCTTGCTGGTTGAGTTTGGGGTCTTGCTAACATTTTTTGCCTGCATTGGACTGGAATCTTGATCATCCCCCAGTCTCCACTTCCTACAAGCTGGAATTACAGAGTGCACCACCATGCCTGGCCATCACTAATATTTTTCATATTGTTATAAATGGCATTTTTAATTTCAATTCAGATTTTTCATTGCTAGCATACTGCAAATGCAACTGACATTGTGTATTTTATAATTTTTAGCCTTGCTCATTTATTAGCTCTGCTTTTTATAAAATCGCAAAATAGATTTTTGTAGGATTTTCAATATGCCACCTACAAATAAAGCCAATGTCACTTTTTCCTTTCCAATTTAAATGCCTCTCAACTCTTTTCAATGTCTTGCTGCACAGGCTAGGATCTCCAATACAATGTTCAACAGAAGTGGTGAGAGCAGAAATTCTTGCCTTGTTCCAAACCTTAGGATGGAAATATTCAGTTCTTTACCACTGAGTGTGCTGCTTTTTTTGATTTTTAAATAGGCATTGGCTAACACATATTCTAAGCTCAACAAACTTCTACCCTTTTCGAAAGTTCATCCCATCCAAACCTATCATTTTATAGATGTGAAAACAGAGACCATAGTGAGTTTATTTAACATCTGAGTTCACATTTCCAGCAGTGGCAGAATTCTTGAGTTTTGAATTGCATAAAACCTCTTTACTGTATCAAGCCCATTTTCCTTTTTAAAACTGCTTTTCTTAATATGTTTAATTGCAGCTACTTGAATATTTTCAATCACTATATTTTTGTTTCAAGCAAAAATCTGCTTAAACTTCATGCTCTATAGGATTTAGTATTGCTGGTTTTTCTTTTGTGAAAGTTGGACCTTCTCATATTTCCATACAAATTCTCAGGAGGCTTTATCATTCCCATTGGTCACATGCTTTAGCAAAAGAGCATTTTATTGGAAATCAGGCTGCTCTTTTGAGGCTTTTGTGTTTATGGGAGTTTAGATGATGTTTTCATTAGGATGAGGGCTAAGCTATTTCAACAAGGAGACTTAAGCATGCATCAGATAAAGAACAAAGAAGTTGATTTCTTTCTATCATCATCAGGAGTATGAGTGCTATATCATAACAGTTCTGTTTCATGGTGGTCAGGGATCCTGGTTCTGTCCATCTTACTTATCCGTCATCATATAGGCTATTCATGGATATCTATGTGGTAGAAGTCAGGTCTTCTCCACATCTGGGTTTTATCCAGTCAGAAAGAGAAAGCCAAAGCCTAGAGGCAGCCTGTCAAGGATGTTAAGCCCAGACTTCAAAGTAGCACATTCTGACCTTCCACTCATGAACTATGCTATCAAATGGTTGTCTCTAACTCCAAGGAAGTACGGGGAAGGACCAGGTGAGCAGCCACACTTTCAGCTGCCACATTACTTGAAACAATAGAAATACATTCTTTCACATTTCTGGAGGCTAGAAATCAAAATCAAGGCATTGACAGGGTTGGTTCCTTCTGCAGGTTCTAAGAAAATCCATTTTCATTCCTTTTGTGTAGCTTCTGTGGTTGCTGGCAATACTTGGCATCTCTTGGCTGATAGCCGCATCTCGTTACATTCTCTTCTTCCCTTGTTGTTTCTGTTGTGTCTCTGCCATGTTGCCTTTTTATAGATGCTCTCCATCATATTAAGAAGTTTCCTTGTAATCCTAGGAGTAGACATTGAATCTTGTCTAACACTTTTACTATCTCAATTGAGGTGATCATTTAGTTTTTCTTTTGGTCTTAATTAATATGCTAAATTATACTGGTTGATTTTCTAATTCTAATTCAATCTTACATTTCTGGAATAAGCTCTCATTTGGTCATGGTACATTATCTTTTTGTTATATATCGTATATTAAAAATAGCTAGAATTTCCTTAGACATTTTTGCATCAGATTGGGGCATTGTTCAATTGGTAGATCACTTGCCTAGCAATTGTAAGGTTCTGTGTTCAATCCCCAGTACTGGGGTGGGGGGAAGCAAAGAAAAAGAAAGAAAAAAAATTTTTTACATCTATGTTTATGAGGGATAATGGTCTGAAGTTTTCTTGTTTAATACCTAGAGATTGGCACTTTAAATATATAGATTCATATCTTAAAAGTAAATAGAGAAAAGATATTAACATTAATCAAAAGAAAGCAGGAGTTGTTATAATAATTTCAGAATGGGCAGACTTTTGAACAAAGAAAGTTATAAAGGATAGAAGGGAGCATTACATAATGATAATGGTGCCCAACATTCAAAAGATATTAACAATTCTTAACATGTAGAGGCCTAAAAACAGAGCATCAAAACATGTGGTGTAAAAACTGACAGAATTGCAAGGAGAAAAAGATGAGTCCCCTATTATTGGTAGAGTCTTAAGTACCCTCTATCACAAGTGGGAAAATTCAGCAGGTAGAAAATCAGTATGGACATAGTTGAATTTAACAGCACTCTTAATCCAGGATATAATTCCATCTTCACTCAACAGCAAGATCACATGAAATATTCACTAAAATAGACCACATTCCAGACCATGAAACACACCTTAGCAAATTTAAAAGAATAGAAATGATGCAATGTGTCCTTTCAGACCACAATGGAATTAAACTGGAAACAGTAACAGAAAGAGCTTGAAAATACCCAACTATATAGGTATCAGATGACACAGCTCTAAGTTACACATGGATCAGGAAAATAAACTTAAGAAAAATTAAAAATATTTTAAACTAAATTAAAATGAAAATATAACATCAAAATTTGTGAGAGGCAGCAAACACAGTGCTTAGAGGGAGATTTATAGCACTGCTTGTTAGAAAAGAAGATCTAATGGCAATAATATAAGTTACTATCATAGGAATCTAGAAAAAGAAAATTAAATCCAAAAAAGAGCAGAAATAATAAGAATTAGAGCAGAAATTAATGAAACTGAAAGCAGGAAATAAACAGAAAAATCAACAAAACTCAAAGCTGATTCTTTGCAAAGATCAGTGGATTGATAAACCTCTAGGCAGGATAACTAAGAAAAAAAAGAGCACTCAAATTACCAATATCAGAAATAAAAGAAGTAACATTACTATGGGTCCCTCATGAACAGAAAAGGATGATAAAGAAATGTTATGAACAACTCCATATTTGCAGATTTGATAACCTAGATGAAATGAGCCAATTTCAGTCTGCTAAGACTCACACGAGAAGAAAGGACAATCTATATAGGCCCATGTTTACTGAAAAAATTGAATAAATAATTAATAATCTTACAAAAGAGAGAAAAATATCCTTGGTGTTGGGTATTTATGGTAATGACTTAGAATGAGGAGGGAAGTATTTAGGAAACACTGGCTCCAGTTTTCTGGATGGGTTTATATATAGTTGAAATTATGTTTGCCTTCAAAATTTACTATGCTAAGAAGCAATGAATATTACCAGGAAAGAAGAGAGCCATTTACAGAGTGAATCATTTCATAACAAAACTTTGTAAAGGTTAAATTCATCTAAGTAACAAAACAATTATAAATGCTTATGTAATTAATAGCAGTTTCAAAATACATTTAGTAAAAACTGATAGGACTTTTTCCCCTATAGAAATAGGAAAAAAATCCACAACTATAGTCAGATTTCAATACTCTTTTTTTTCTCCCCAATGTTGGATATGGAATCCAGGGTCTCAAGCACATTAGGCAAGTGTTCTACCACTGTTCTACAAACCCATCCCCTAACACTCCTTTGTTAAAAATTAATGAGATAAAGACAGAAAATCAGAAAGAATATACTGGAGTTGAGGAATAGCACTAACAAATTTAACTTGATTAAAATTTGTAGAACACTCCACCCAATGACTGCAGAAAATTTACTCATTTCAAATGCACTAGGAACATTTAACAATACAGACCATATGCTGGCCCACAGAACAAGGGTCAATAACTTAAAAATGATTCAATGTATACAAAGTATGTTCTCTGATTGCAATGGCATGCAGTAAATCCCTCAGACTAAACAACATACAAAGAATCCATGGGTAAAAGAAGAAATCAATAGAGAAATACAGTATTTCGAGATAAAGGAAAATGAAAACACAATATATCAAAATACATGGGATGCAGCTAAAGCAGTAGAGTGATTTATCCCACCAATTGCCTATATTCTAAAACAAGGAAATTAGAGAAACAAAAACTTTAAAAATTAAAAGCAGAAAAGGAAATAACAAACAGTAGGTATTAGTAAACTAGAAAACCGAAAAAACAACAAAGCAAATCTACAAAACCAAAAGCAGGTTTTAAAATCTGAGTTCGGTGAAGCTGGTAAGCCTCTTGCCAGATTCATCAGGAAAAAAGATGACACAACTGACCAACTCCAGCAATGAGAAAGGTCAGATTTTTTTTTTAATATCGTTATTACGAGGACAATATGTAAAAATTTACAGAAATAAACAACCTAGACATCTTCACAAACTATTAAAGCTCACACAAGAATAAAGAACCGTGTTTGTTGAATGCTAGCTATTATTATGGGGAGGACGCTGAGTACAGACTTTAGAGACACATAAGGCATTTTTGTCCCCAAGAAGCTTTCATTTTACTGTAGGGGGAAAACAGCTAAAACTTAATACTGATCCAGTGGAGACGAGGGAGGAAACTGGCTCAGGAAAAGCTTCTCTGGGAGAAGTCACCCCCTCCCCCCCTCCACTGCCGACCGACGTCCCAAGAACCCCCAGGAAGAGGTGGTGGGAACAACAGCGGCTGCTGCACACCAGCTGGCGCACGTCTCAGGTCGGTCCCAGCCCTTTTCCACTCGCGCGGGAAGCGGCAGAGCAACCACGGCCCGGGAAAGTCGTGCGCACGCGCAACCTAGCAAGGCGCGCTCAGGAGAAGGCGGGGTCGCCACCGGAAGTGTGACCTCTCCCGCTGGTGTTCTCATCCGGGGTCACGTCGATCTTCCGGTGTCTCTGACAGGGTTTTCTAAGCCACTTCTCCGGCGACTTTTTGGTCTTCCGCTTTTTGCCACCGCCCCCAACTTTCCCACTCGTGCGGGCCCTGCCTTTTCTTGTGTCGCTCCTCCCCTGGCAGCCGCGCCCGGGCCTCACACCGCCATTCGGCACCAAGCTAGGCCTGTACTCGTCCCGCGGACCACCACTACCTCCTTAGGCTCGGGCGACAGCTGGGGCGGGCGCGCCCCGTCGGTGGGTCCGACTCAGCTATTCCCCACGGACGCTTATGAGTTCGGAGGTTTTCGGAGAGGGACTCAGCCCGGTAGGCCCTGGTCGGGGGCGGGGTGCGCGAAACTTTTTTTTTTTTTTTGAGATTGTTACACTTTTGTGTCGTACCGGAGGTCCCGGCCATACCTCGTAGGTCGGAGGAGAAGTAGTAGCGCTTATTCCTCCCACTCCTCTTCCCGGGGTCCCGTTTCCAGCCCCCTGCCCGCCCTGCCCGCGGCCCCGGACCCAGAGGACGGCGGCGGGACTCCGCGTGGTGTTTGACGAGGCGGCGGAGAGCTAAGGTGCGTGTGTGCGGGTAAGTGAGAGGCTGTGGTTGGTCCCCGCCCGTCCGGGGGCGCGGGTCCGGCCCCTCTCTCCTTCCCCAGGAGGGGCTGATGTGCCTCGGAGCCCCCCGGTTATTTGCGTTGCCTGTCTCGTTTGCCTTCTTTGGGGTCTGTGTTTCAAATAGTTTTATTTAGGTTCGGAGACCGGCAGAAGAAAAGAAACAGGAAGGAACCGTTTCTGGTTAGCGGTACCGGTGGGGAGAGGGCACAGCCGATCTCTAAGCCGGGGCTTGTGTGACAGGTGACACAGCGGACGGGTCAGTCCCGCGAGGCGTTTCAGACGTGTGTGTGCACGGGTGAACGGCCCGTAGTAGCAGCAGCATTACTTTGTGCGTGTGGACAGCAGACACACGGGCTCCTGTGACACAGGCCTTGCGGAGCCAAAGAACTGCCCGTTTGGATCCATGTGGCCGGATTCTCTGTTGAGCACTTGGATAGAACTGAATTCTTAGTAAAAAAGGAATGTCTGGTTCATGACAGGAGGGAGTTTTGGCAGTAGATGAACAGGATTTAGGAATTGGACTTTTTCTCCTTTTTCATTTTTTGGCTGTTCTGGGGTTTGAACTCAGGGCCTCACTTGCTAGGCGGGTGCTCTATCTCATGAACCACGCCCCCAGCCTTTTTTCCTTGATGTATTTTTTGAATAGGGTCTTGTGTTTGCTGGAGCTGACCTGGACACTGATCCTCCTATGCATGCCTCCTAGTAAGCTGGGATGACAGGCACCACGCCCAGTTTAATAGTTGATTTGGGGTCTGGATAACGTTTTGCCATTCCCGTGCCCGGTCCCTGCCACCTTAAACCACAATCCTCCCTCTCTCTGCCTTTGGGGTAGCTAGGTTTACAGGTGTGAGGCATTGTGCCCTGTTTGACTTTTTCTGTTGTGGAGAAAAGAAGTGAGTTTGGGGAATCAAGGTTTTAGGACAAAGTGGACAGATAACACGATTTAGCTAGTACAGTTCTGGTTTTTATATTAGGTAGAGTCTACTTTCCAGGAAATCCTGATGAAAGAATTATATATCCTTGAGTGTTCTATAATTTGTTGTAGGAGAGGTCAAGTTGAGGACAAAAATTCCAGGTTGTAAATTACAGGACCAAATACTATATCAACACGAATACTTTGTAAGCTGTTCTATTACTGTCTCTTCTCATCAATGACTATTTACAAATAAACCTATATAATTTCTCATTGGGTTATTCAAGTAGTAGCCTTAATGATTCTCTCCCTAAAGCAAGAACCAATACCAGGGTTTTAAAAACAATTCAAACATTACCTAGATCATTCTATTTTATAGTTAAGTATAGTTTAAAAACCTGATAACTATTAAAGTAAGAAAAATAGAATACTGTCAATCTCTGGATTTTATTTATTATAAAATTTGTCATACCTACTGCCACAGGTAATGTGGAGTAATTTTTATGTAAATCATCTCTATTTAGTGAAGAGGCTGTTTGTTAATATAAAAAATATTAATAATTTTGTGAACTTCTGAAATAGTAATAGTTTTACATGATCTTATTTTTGTTAAATTATTGTTTTAAAAAGACACCTTATGTTTATAATAGATTGTTGTTTTGGTGTTATTTTAATCAAAGTCATTGTTGAAATGTATTAGAAAAAGGAATTGAAATTCATGGGCTTTTGGTTTACTTACGTTTATACAGTCATATAGGATACCTATGTTGGGGAGAATTGAATATCATTGGTTAAATTCCCTAGGAATGATTCTGTCCATTTTGCCTATTTTTTTTGGTGGTATGGGGGTTTGAATTCAGGGCCTCATGCTTGCTAGTCAGATTACTGCTTGAGCCACTTTGTCAGTCTTGATTCTTTCCATTTTGAATGTTGACCTGGTTAAAAGCCTGAGTTAGGGACAAGATTCTTACTGAGAAGAGCCTGCCAGTTTATTTTGAAGGGACCTCAAAAACGCTTATTTGGGAATTTTAGGTAAAATTAGGTGTCTACCCTAGAGTAAACTTTTGGCTGTGGAATCATTCTAAGCTTTTAAGCTTGTGATAATTTGGTTATTAATTTTGTAGAGTAGTTCTGGGCCACCAGACATCTTTTGACTTACACTTAGTTTGGATTTGATCATGTAATGGGCTAGAAGTAGAGTGAGATCTGGGCTATTATATCATTTTTGCATCTTCAAGTTCAAATGCAGATATACAGGACCTTATTTAGGTCCAGAGGTAAAAGAGCATGTTATTTGTTGATAACCTGAAGTAGAACTTTTTGGAGCAGGATTTTGAACTTGAGATCTTTCTGCCTCAGCCTCCTGAATGCTGAGATTACAATTGTGTACCACCATACCCAGCTTTGAAATTGAACATTTTAGTTCTAGGTTTTCTAAATATAAATAGTTTTTTTTTGCTTAGATCTATAGTATTTATAGTCTGGGATGGGGGCGTGGCTCAAGTGATAGAGTGCCTGCCCAGCAAGGCCTGAGTTCAAATCCCAGTAATGTCACCCCCCCCCAGTATCTATATTCTAACAAAATGAGGTATTGAGCAGAGTTCATTATAATAAAGCATTTAATGTCATTTTCTCATAAGGGAATTATGTTTTATGGGAAGTTTGATCAGGGAAACAGTGAAGAAGAACAAATTTTACCCCTGGGTAAAGGATAGAACAAGTTGTCAGTTTTGAATCTGGCAATTCGTGATTATTGAATGTACTTTTAATAAAGCATTTGCTAGAATGCTGTTTAATTCAAGATATTTGTCCACATTTGCTAAGCAGTGAACACCTGGGAGTACAGAGAGCTGATTATTTTTATTTTTATTTTTTGGCTGTACTGGGAGTTGAACTCAGGGCTGCACTCTTGCTAAGCAGGTACACTACTGCTTGAGCCACTCTGTAGGCCCTTTTCTGATTGGTTATTTTCTGAGATAGGGTCTCTCTATTTGCCTGGATTGACTTCCAACAACACTAGGGTAGGATTATAGGTATGAGCTACCAACACCTGGCTCTTCTTTTAAAAAAATCTGTAACAAGAAATAAGGGCCTAATTAATAAAGTAGACACACTCTTATTTCCTAGAGGCAGTACTTTGTTTTGTATTGTATTCTTTTAATCTTAAAGAATTGAAAAAATGAGGAGGAAAATTTATATGACTGATTTATTAGTTTCTTCTAAGGTCTTTCTTGTATGTTGGTCCTTTCAGTTTTTCCAACCCTCCCATTCTCAATTCCTAGAGGCACAAACACTTTGTTTTAGCTAGCTAAGTGTTATTTTCTCCTGTTGTTAAAAAACAAAACCACAAAAACTTATATAAGTAATTCATGCGCTGTATATTATTGCAGATGAGGATTTAGCACCTTCTGAGATTTTTTTTTTTGTGTGGCAGTACTGGGGTTTGAATTCAGGGCCTCATGCTTGCTAGGCAGACAGTCTGTCACTTGAGCCACTCTTCTAGCAAGATTTAGCACTTTCTGTATCCTGTCTCATTCTCTCTCTCCCTCTCTGTATAGACACACAATTTGTCATAAATAAACATATAAGTATGTAACATTAAATCTAACATAAATAAGTATAATCTGAACAGTATGTAATAATATAATATCAAAATTTTTATTTAAATCAGTGCTTATGTTACTGTAAGAGCCAAGTGTGTAACAGTGATTAAATTTCAATTTTTATATTATTTTTTGAGTAACTTATATTAAAGTAGGTTTTTTTGTAGTTTAGTAGTTATTTTTTATTACCTGCTTCCCTATATTCCTGTAATTTTTCTGCTCTGTTAGCAGAAGTGTCTAGTCAAATATATCAGATAATCTACCAGTTCTTTTCTGTTTGTTTTGTTTTTTGAGACAGAGTCTTCCTACTTAGCCCAGGTTGGCCTCAATTTTGATGCCCTCCTGCCTTATCCTCCTGAATGCTAGGTGGCTTATGCCACCAACTTCCTTTCACCATCGTCCTTGGAATTTTGTTTCTGCCTTACATAGGATCTCCCTTTTCCTACACCCCAGGATTTTTTTTTCTTCTTCATTTTTCTTTTTCTTTCTTTCGAGACAGGGTCTTGCTATGTTGCTAGCCTTGAATTTAATACATGATCTTCCTGCCTCAGTCTCCCAACTGCTGGGAATACAGATGTTTGCCACCATGCCTGGCCTTCTTTTTCTTTTTACCCTTCACATCTAAAAATATTTTTATTCTTCCTTGTATTAGTAGTATAGATAGCATTGTAGCTTGAGGGCATTTCCCTCAGAGTTTTAAAAGAATTAGTTTGTGTCTTGTGGTTTCTATTGTTGCTGTTGGGAAGTCCCAAGACATTTTGATTCCCCACTGTTTGTTTTTAACATTTTTCTCCTTTGAAATATTTGATAAACTTTTTCTACTGATACTCTGAAATTTCATCATGATGCACCTTGATATGTATCTTTTTTTTTGGTTCTTCCAAGATCTTCTGTTACAATGTTGGTTGTTAGACAACATACTTTGATTCTTTGTATGTATGTATGTGACTGGAGATTGAACTAAGGGCCTCACACTTACTAGGAAAAGTATACTACCACTTGACCTGTGCCTCAGGCCTGGGCTTTTGCCACCTGAATAGTTGGGATTTCAGGCATGAGCAACCATGCCCCAACTTTTTAAAAATTTGAGTGTTCATTTGACATTATTTCTGTTTATTCTCAGATCTTTTTTTCTCCCCCTTCTGGTGATCCAAAGATGTCTATTTTAAGTGAGAGCTACTAGAAGTTTAATTGGAAACTTTATGTGTCTATGGGTGGTGCCTGGCAACTAGTAACTGGCTTCTGTAGGTTGATCAAACAGCTCGTTTGACTTTTCCTTGGTCCCCCAACCTTTTACTATGTTATAGATTCTCTTGCTGTTATGTTACATAGTTTTTCTTCTCATTTTGTTTGGAGAAGAGTTTTCTAATTGCTTGCTTTGGGAAGGTATCCGGGAGGGCTCCATTTTTTTACTTTGTGTACTTACTTAATCCTTGTTTTTGATTTGTTACCTTACCCTACCTTTTTGTAAGACTACAGCCTTGCTAGGTCAGTCATTGAAAAAAGTAAATATCTACTCTCCTGTGGTTCTGATTGCCTTATGTAGTTTTTTTTCTTCCATTGGAATAAAACTCTTTTATTGGAAGTCTTTTACATAAATTACAAGACTTTGAGAGAAGTTCAGAATTTTATAAAATTCTAAGTGATACAAATTCCTTCCTTTGCTTCTTCAAATCTGTAAGATCCAAATCCTAGGAGTCAGGTTGTCATATGGTGGCTTATACTGTTATGTGGATTATATTGAAAATAAATGTAAGACTCTGTGAGATTTAATTAAAAGTCCCTTTTGAATTTTTTTAAATGAGTATGTGATGATAACTTTTTAAAAGATTTATTGATATTAGGGTACAAAATTAGAAACTTGCCTATATGTTGATATTATTTGAATGATATGGTTAATTTAGGCTTAAAATTCATTATTCATAAGGTTTTTTGTTACCTCTAGTAGAGTTGATTTAGGTAGGTGCTTTACCACTGGAGCCATGCCCTCAGCCCTTTTTGCTTTAGTTATTTTTCATATAAGGTATGTGTTTTTGCTTGGGACAGACCTGTGCTTCCCATGTAGCTAGGATTACAGTTGTATGCTACAATGTCCAGCTTACTTGTTGAGTTCCAGTCTTGAACTGTAATCATCTTGATCTTTGCCTCTTGAGTAGTTGGGATTACAGTGTGAGCCATCATGCCTGGCCACCTCCAGTAGAATTTAAGAGACCTATGGAAACTTTTTATATTTCCTGGTACTAGGGATTAGAACTCAGAGCCTCTAACTTGCTAGGCAAGTGTTTTACCACTTGAACCATGTTCTCAGTCCTCAACTTTTAAAAATAACTTTGCAAATGAAATAAGTAACTTGATAGCTAAATTGTTTTAAATAGCATATAACAGTTATCAAAGAGTTTGGAATCTTTAAGCTGTAGTAATTTAGTACTTTCTTTTAAATTATTATAGGTAGAAGAATACATGATTACTTTCAGTAAAGAAGAGCATGTTCCCAAACTCAATTTTGGGTCGTCCGCCCTTCACTCCAAACCATCAGCAGCATAACTTCTTTGCCCTGTCACCAACTCTTTATTCACACCAGCAGCTTATAGATGCTCAGTTCAACTTCCAGAATGCAGAGTAAGTATGGTGCCATGTTGGCTTATGTCATTAAGTTTTGTTTTCTATTGGACTTTTTGGTGAAACACTTGAAAGTGGAGAAAATGTTACAACTTTTTGTTTTCTTTTATCAGTGAAATATTTAGTTTTGTTCATTTTTGTTTTTAACAAAAAAGTATGTATATGACTGCTGTTCTTTGTTTTTGGTAGCTTGTCCAGAGCTGTGTCACTACAACAGCTGACATATGGAAATATCAGTCCAATACAGACCTCAACATCCCCATTATTTCGAGGAAGAAAGTAAGTACCTTTCAATTTTTTTTGCAGTCCTGAAAACTCTATTATAGTTGTATAAAATTGTATGGGCATTTGCTCTAGATTTTGTTTTTTGGGGACTTGTGCAGTCAGTCAGTACAGAATTTAATCACTAAAATTT